GTCACCGGCCGAGCCTCCGGGCCCGTTGGCACCGTGAAATTCCTGGGGAAGGTCTTCACAGCTTGAATTTAAAGGGACCAAAGGAGAGGCCCTTAAAGGGACCCTTGGGGTTATATAGGGGCTTTATGCGACTATGTAAGGGGTACATAAGGATTATATAAGGTATTAGGATTAGGGGTCCATTCTAGGGGTCCCTCCTATTGTCCCTTACTTGACGACGTGGTGGTTTCCAGAAGCCTTAATACCCTACTTCACGGGTTTCGACCGTAGCCAAAGGTTCATCCCAAACTAACCCCCAAACCCTATACCTTATACCCTAAACCCTAAAGACCCTAAACACTTAAACCCTACACCCTAAACCCCTAAACTCCTAAACCCAAAACCCTAAATCCCTAAGCGCAACACCGTAAAGGCCAGAATTCCTCAAACCTTACAACCTGGACAGTGAGAGCCTCGTCTCCAGGCCACCAGCAGCGTTTTTGAGGGGTGTGGTTTTTAGGGTTTTGAGGGGCTTTAGGGGCTTAGGGTTTAGGGGTTTTAAGGGGATTAGGGGTTCTAGGGTTTAGGGTTTAGGAGCTCTTAGGGTTTTAGGCTTTTAGGGGTTTTAGGGTTTTTTTGGGGTTTAGGTTCGTACTGGTTAGGGCGTAGGATCTTCCCTTCTTGGGAAGTTTTTCGTGCAGTCGGTGGGATCCTGACCGCAGAGCCCGCAAGCAAAAGAAGCGAATGAGATCTCTCTGTTATACTACTATAGTAGTATTCTAGGATTGTAGTACTATAGTACTATTTTTAGTAGTATAGTACAATAGTGCTATGATAGTATCATAGTACTATAATACCATTATAGTATCTCTCTGTTGGGTTTCATGCTTGATGCCGTGATGACTACTTGTAATTGGAATACCACTAACTGAACTGCTACAACTCCAACGACCAGTACAACTGCAACCACAACTGCTACTCGTGCTGCTAGTGCTGAGACTGCTGCTACCAGCAGGAAACCGCAAGCACTTCCTCAAGCTCGCACCCTAAACCCCAACCCCTACTTACTCCACGCTCACAAGATGGATCTTCAACCCCCCCACAACTCTAAACGACAAAACCCAAAGCATTACGCACGCCTGATCCCAACAATCACGAACCTCTGGGGTCAGCTGACATTTTTTTTCCCAGCTGGCTGTGCTAAGGGATTGGGATTGTAACAGTCGTCCCACATCTGCCGTATCTTGATTGTAACCCTTTAGTCACACCTTCGGCCATGTAAGTTAAACCGACCCATAAATCCTAAACCCTTAACGCTGGAACCTTGCAATTGAAGACTGAAGTCCCTGCCCCCATCATGGACATGAGAGGGAAACCTGTCATACACTCAGCGAGTAAGGTTATGAACAATTACTGCCTTTAGTAGCTGAATATGAACTCTACTTACTAAGTCCGCTGAGCCTTGAGGTAGTACTACTTGCCGACCTCATTGTGCTGTGTATGGTTGGTGCAGGTATGCGAACATGAAAGAGTACGACAAGTATACGACCCATACTGACAAGTCTACGGAAGAACTAGGATTTCTAGACACACGCGTGATTTTGAGAGTGATGATCTCCGGAGGGGCGGTGCACCCCGAACCCTGAACCCTCGAACCACAAACCCCAAACCAGCAACCCTTAACCTCAATCCCAAAACCAGCAACCCTTAACCTCAAACCCCAGACCCGAAAGCCTAAGACCCCTAGATCCATTGCATTAGAATACAAAAAAACCAAAGCCGTAAAGACCTAAAAACCCCATTAACATAATATACCATTATGATTTACATAACAGTATAACATATAGTATACTTCAATCGTATACTAAATCGTATACCCTTAAAAGAAAGCAGCAGTCAGGAAGCGGCTGAGAGCCGGGAGTGTCACTGGGGGATCGGAGAGGTGTCCCTGAGCCAAGAGGATTGCTTGGAGGTTCATGGGTAGTTATAAGTGGAGTTATAGGGGTTCCTTTAAGGGTTTCTTTAAAGGGTTCTATAGGGATTTTTAGGGTTAAGGGGTAGTTATAAGTGGAGTTATAAGTCCCCTAATATAGGTTATAACTATAGTTACCCTACTTATAACCCCACTTATAACTACCCATGAACCTCCAAGTGGAGACGAGTGCAGAGCGTCGGATTCCTTTTTGAGGGCTTCCCGTAGTTTGGGGGCTCAGGGTTGGGGGTTCAGGGTTTAGGGGTTTAGGGGTTTAGGGCTCAGGGTTTGGGAGCGTAGGATTCCTTTTTGGGGGCTTCCTGTAGTTTGGGGCGCTCAGGGTTTGGGGTTCAGGGTTTGTTTGGGGTTTAGGGTTCAGGGTTTGGGGTTCAGGGTTTAGGGGTTTAGGGTTCAGGGTTTGTTTGGGGTTCAGGGTTTAGGGCTTAGGGGTTCAGGGTTTAGGCCTCAGGGTTTGGGGTTTAGGGTTCAGGGTTTGGGGTTCAGGGTTTAGGGGTTTAGGGTTCAGGGTTAGTCTTTAGGGTTTCTGTCAACCCTCAGCCCTAGACCCAACAGCCAAGTCCCGCAAGAAAACGGTAACAGTACAGATGGATCATTGATGATCATTATTATGGCTATTATGGGTCAGTCAAGGCAACGTGGAAAAGGTTAGCCGCGAGTGCCAGTGCCAACATCTGACTTCTCCGCGAAAATATCAGGTCCAGAGCCCTAAACCCTAAACACTACAACCCTGAACCCTAAACCCTAAACACTACAACCCTGAACCCTAAATCCTAAACACTACAACCCTGAACCCTAAGCCCTAAACCCTAAACACTAAAACCCTGAACCCTAAACACTAAAACCCTGAACCCTAAGCCCCAAAAGACGTAAAGCCCTAAACCTTGCGATGCGAAGGCGGAGATCCTAGACCTCGGAACCTTTAGCCTGAAGTCTGTGAACCCCGCAGCGCAAGCCTACATAAAGACGTCTATAAGTCTAGCTTTAGGGTTTAGGGTTTAGGGAATAATTACTCTTTGAGGTTCTTAACTTGGCTTGTGAGACGCCTCTGCGCAACTGCCGATCGGCAGGGCCCGACTTTTCGTGGATGGATTTCAGCTTCGGGTTCAAGGCTTGAGGCTTGAGGACTGGGCGTTCAAGCTTTTAGGGCTTCAGAAGATCAATGTCTGGGGTTCAAGGAAACAGGTCCTGAGCTCTGAGTGTCTGTTCTTTCAAGCTGGGGGTTCAAGTTTAAGTTGCCTACTGTTGCTCGCTTCGGGGGTTCGGCAGGGTTTGAGGTTTAGGGTTTAGGGTTTGCGATTCCGGATTCAGGCGATTCGGGTAGATGGGAGGGTTTATGGCTGAGACTTACACCAGGATTTCTGAATGTGGTGTAGAGTTTGATTTGGGGTGGGACTTCGGGATTTTGGATTTACTGCGTTGGTTCGGAAAGCCCTGCTGGTTTTGGCAGTGATCGTGCCCACTCGAGGCGTGTGTCAGCCTGTTTCACCAACCGGCGAAAGCCCGCGAACCGCAAAATCGGCTCTTCTTCTTGCGCGGTTCCTTGCAATGCACATACCTCGCTTTGGAGTGTATCGCGTTACACAGAGGTTCGACCCCCAAAATTTGGAATAGCCTCCGAACGTAGGTTATCTTCTGCCACCCTTGAAGGCCAGGTTCTGAGGCCCAGCATTACATGTCATAGGCTTCTGAATGGGGGGGGGGTTCTAGCGCCTCGGTCCGCTTCAGTTTATTCTATTTGGGGGTATTGCACAGCCTAAACCCTAAACCCTAAACCCCATGGCAGAAAAGATTTCGGAAGCAACGCAGCCTTTCCTCTCAAGCTCTTCGAGGTATGACGGCTTGTGGATGCCTCTTCTTCTTCCTTGTTCTTGGGTATGCCAGGGTCGCCCGAAGGATATCCAGAGCCTAGAGTCCTAGAGATGATTCGCAGGGTTTCTCATCCCAACAAGGGGGACGGTTGATGGGTGTAAAGTTGAGCTTGAAGCCCTTAAACCCTAAACCCTAAAGCCCTAAACCCTAAACCGCGCATGTGGTCCGCACCAGAGCCCCAGTCTTTCCACTCAGGCCTCGAAGTCAGGTCTTAAGCTTTCCACACTGTGCGGGGCCCTGCCTCGACCCATGCAGTCGTGAATGCACGGCGTTCGGGAGCTTTTGGGTCCGAGCTCTAGCTTTCTCAGGAGACCGTGGTATGTACTTCAAGTTCGCAAGGTTCTGTGAACTCAGGGCATGAGTTCCCTGAAATCAAGCCCCCAAAGCCTGAATCCAATATGTAACTGCTGATCATGGCGGCCATGGATCAGCACAGCTCTGCAGGAGGAGGCCTGGGTGGGTACTTGAAGGGTCAGGGGACTTTGCAAGTAAGGTTATAAGTGCCGCAAGTGTGTCATTGTTAGAGCTAATGAGAATGAGAATCATGATGATGAGGAGGACGAGGTTGATGGTGATGCTGTTGATACTCCTGCTCATGAACGAGCAAGTGCTACTTCCTATCGCTTCCGAGCTACGAACACCTACTGCTGCTTCCTTCTACCCCCTACAAAGTTCGCACTCCTAAACCTCATTCCTCGCTCCCAGTACCTTTGCCTGCCATCCCACTAAACTCCTACTTGTCCTCCTCCTACTGCCGCCTCCTGCTACTCTCACCTCCTACCTATCCTCCGAATGCTACCACACCGGGCCTTAATGGTTGATGTTTAACTCATAAACAGCTTTGCCCGGATGGTTAAGGCCACTGGATCGTTGGCTTTATCGTCGGGCCCTCGAGCCGCAGATCTAAAGCAAGGCCCCTCTTCCTCTCTACCTCCGCACGAATTGCAACCTGACAGCTTGTGTCATTGACCTGCAGCTGCCAGGGGCTTTGAATGGTCTGTTTTGCTTCGCATACATAAGAGCACGGACAACAAGCGGCCTATTGGCTGCCATCGCCGTCTCGCATTGCACTTATCCATCACAGAGGCCTCGCCATAGCATCCATAGCATAGCATTTCTGGCTCTTGGTAGGTGCCCACCCATGGCTTTGCAAGTCGAGGAGGAGGTCAACTTCGAAGTGCAAGAGCCGGCTGAGGCAAGCCGAGGCATGAAGCGCTCGGATGGGCCTTCGTCGGAAGCCTACGTAGCGCCACTCAAGTGCCCGAGATCGGCGATGCAACAACTGGCGGAAATGAGGATGGAGATGCGTGAGCACCAGCGTCAGAAGATGGCGCGTCAGCGCTTACAGTTACAACGCTTAAGAGAAACTAGGGATTCGCGGCCGGACTGGGGCAACGGATGGAATCGGATCCGAGACGATCCGAGCGACCCAAGAGATTCTAGTGATTCGAGAGACAGATGGGCCGCGTTCCCAGCTCCGGATCCGATTCCACCCATCCGAACCCACGAGCTCCAGAACCACGGTCCACCCATCCCGCCCACCCATGACGAAGAATCCAAACCCGCGGGGTTTCCAGCTCTGAACAGAGCCACGGTCCACCCTCCAAACCCGTGGGCCCGCAGCTCCAAAACCGTGGCACCAATCCCCAGCGGCCCAAATGCAGCTTGGAATCGGACCCGAGATGACTCAAGAGACTCCAGAGACTCCAGAGACTCCAGAGATTCCAGGGATTCGCGAGAGGACAGGCGCAATGGACGGTGGTGGAACCCCCCCTCTGAGTGGGGTGCAGATGCGTCTTGGCATAGGCCCAAGGCTTCTGCGACAGCGTGGCAGAGGCCTGGGAAGTCCTCGGCTGGAGGGGAGACGACTTGGGCGCTGAAGGAACTGGCTGAGGTTCGACAAAAGCTTGTTGCCGCCGAGGAGGCATTATGCCAGGAGAAGAGTCTGCGCACCAACTTGCAGGAGAAGCAAGACCTAGAAGAGAAGCAGGTGCAGAAGCTTCAGGCCAGCTTACAGGAGCAACAAGAGCAGCTCCGGGAGCAGCAATGTCTAGCTAATGAGAAGCTGCAGCAGCTGCAGGCGGGGCATGGGCAACGCATTGACGTAGCAAGGATTGAAACAGCTGTGCTAAGCAACTATGTAAGTGAATGTCAGAAGCTGTTTGGATGAGATCAACAGTTTAGTAAGAGAGTAGTGCCAGTGTCCATTCCGAGGCTCAACTGAATGCCGAGAATATGAGGCGGATCTGTGCAGAGGAGCAGCTGAAGAAGTTGCGACCGCTCACGAATTCCGTCAATCATGGTGCATTTTGGCAGTACGAGCTGGACGGTTGCTGGCATGCATTCACACCGGAGGGCAGCGAGCAGATGCACCGTGCCTATGAAGCATACCTCGTCGACGGCCAAAGGTGTTGCACAGCGACCATAGTAGCTGGGGGCGTTGCACGCCTGGTTGATTTCAGGCGAATGACCCAACAGCATGCCATCACCAAGAAAGTGCGCAAGATCCGCATTCGCATGGGGGTACCGGCGCAGTGGGAGAGTGGCCCATCAGTTCTCCTTACACAGAGCGACAACTTGGAATCTTGTTACGTGGAAGTGAAAGATCGGCCCATGCTGGACTGGATTAGGGTTGTTCTCACAAAGACAGGTCATTTTCGCGACAGGTCAACTCCTTGCTTCTGCATGCAGAAGGCGACTGTCAAGTCAGTCCATCGCATTGAGAACTTTCGGCTTTGGCATCGCTATCAGGCCAGGCTGGCTGCGATGAGGGAGGACCATGCGAAATACAATGTCTCTGTGCAACATACAGATCTCGAACTAGATTTTAGTATACCTTCGGGCGTGATGACTCGTTCTCAATCTTATCTGAGCTGTGGGGAGCCCATGGCGTCTGACGTGCAAGAGAAGATACTGTTGCATGGTACCTCCTGGGAAAATGCTGATGCCATCGTCATGGACGGCTTCGATCACAGGACCTGCGCTCGTGGTATGTATGGGGATGGTGTCTACTTTGCAGGTGCTGCCTGCAAGTGCCACCAGTACACATGCCAGACGCACAGTGGCAAGGCGTGCTCGTGTAAACACGAGAGGACCTTGATCATTGCTCGTGTGGCGCTTGGTGATGCTTTCCACGCATCTCAAACCCGAAAAGGGGAACGTCGGCCTCCGAACAGAGATGGGGCAACAGGTACACATGGTTCTGTTGTTGTGAACCCTGGGCCAATCCATGGGCATCACAATCCCAATCAAATTCACCAGGAGTTCGTCATATTCGATCGAGAGCAAGCCTACCCTGCATTTGTTGTCCAATACGTGCTCTGATTCCCGCAGCTCTGGACTGCATGCTGGGATTGAAGCAACTTCGTAGTCGTAGCAGGAGGAGAAATGGTAGCAATGATGCAGCTAGCACTCACATCCTCATCATCCCCACGGCGCCAGTTTCTTTCTGAATCACAGTACTGGTTCTCAGCATGTGATCAGACACGGCACCCTTGGGAGTCTGAATTTTTGAAGACTTGGCGAGTCAGACGAAAACACCTTCATCAGCATCAATAACTCATGGTAATCATAATGCCATGATGTCAGCCTTAATTAAGTCTTAAGACTTGCCGCCATTGGCTGCGGCTGTGCTAGTGATAGTAGAGTTAGGGAATCTTTGAGGCCTGTCATGGACCCGAGCTCGTTTGTCTCAGCGAAGTCTGGCCGGAACGACTTCACTCCCGTTTCCCAGACTCCCTGCACGACAACACCTCGGAACCAGGGTTTAGCGCTTAGGGTTTAGGGCAGAAAGTGCTGAATCCTTAGGCTGTGATGCTGAGACCGCACACCCCCCGAAATCCGCACAACCCCGAATCCCAAAGGCCTGAGCCCTACCACCCCGATCCCGCTCAGGTACCCCGCGCGAGAGCTGAATGCCGCCGTGGTTTCGGATCTAGGGCTGGGTTTTTTCCGAGGTTTAGGGTTTAGGGTTTAGAGTTCAGGTTCCGAGTTTATGATTTTCCCTGGTTTGGGGTAGGTGTAGGTTTTGGGTTTTGGGGCTTTGGGGTCTAGGTTTTCAAGATCTCGGCAGTGTAATCGTCAGGCGCTAAACCCTAGAGCCTAAGCCCTGAACCGGCTCAGGAGCTCTGTCGCGCCGAATCAGGGCTTGCGGTTGAGAGCCGAGGGTATGGGGTTTAGGGTTTCGGGTTTCGGGTTTAGGGTTTAGGGTTTCGGGTTTAGGGTTTAGGGTTTCGGGTTTAGGGTTTAGGGTTAGGGCCAGGGGCTTCTTTCCGATAGTTGGTACGAGAGGTGAGCTGCAGAGACGGCTGTATCACCACTCGGAGAGGTCAGCGAGAGCGCCAAAACAGCTGTATACCGGGAAGCAGGGTTTCAGAATTTTGGGGATCAGGATCTGCAGGTCCGAGACCGGACCGAACTCAGATCAGAGGCCCCCACGTGCAGAATCCCAAAGCCCACATCTGAGGATGCTTAGATGTGATCCTCTGGACCTAGATCAGACGTTAATGGTGGAGGAGGTGGTGTTGCTTGGGTGCGGATGGAGAAGATGACCATGTTGATGAGCATAGAGATGATGTACATTTGTCATGTTGGGGTGCTAACGATGGTGACAAACATGGTGGTTGCTCCTGGTGGTGACGGGTGATGAAGATGAAGGATGACGGTGACGACGACCGTCTGAGAATGGTGATTGTGATTCTGGTGATGAACGTGCCGAAGCAGACCAGGATGCTGATGAACGCCATGATGATAATGACCGCGAAAGCGTTTGAGACAATGACGACCATGATCCCCGCCACGAAGCCACCATTAACGATGAATCTGCTGGTGCTCCTACTTCTGGCCCTCGTGCTGCATAATCCTGCCGTTGGCCTGTCGTCGCTGCTGCTCGGTTTTTCTTTGTCATCATAGGGAGGTAAGATCCGAGCTCGGAAATCTCCGATGCGCAGACTTTGCTGGTTTGAGGCTTGGGCGAGGGCTGTTTAAGGTCCCGGATCGATGCTCGCCCGTTGGATGCTTGCTCCCAAACACCCCAAACTCGTAAACCATCAGTAATGAATCACAAACTCTCAACCCCAAGACCTTCAAACCCCAAGCCCCAGGCCGAACATCGCCCAAACCCTATCTTCAAGACACAAAAACTCCGAAGCGCTGCGCCGCCGGGCCACCCCAAAGGCAGCAGAGGGGCAAGGTAGGTACAACCAGCGCCCAGTCTCCGGCGCCGTCTCCCAGAGGTCCCCCGGCTGCGTCGGTTTAGCCGTTTGTTGCTAGGTAGCCACGCAGTGTCTACATATAAGTAGGTGTAAATGTATGTATGTGTGTATACATGCATGGATGGAGGGCGGGAGAGATGGATGGTAGTCGTACTTGTGCATGTGTGCGTTTTCGTATGTGTAGGAGTATGCAGTATGCATATGTACATGTAAATATCGTATGTGTGTATACATATATATATATGCCCATGCATTAGTTTATGTATGTTTATGGTTGTGCATATGTACAATTGCAGCTTTACGCACAGGTATGCAGGTATAGATTCTTGTGTGTATGAATGTATATACACAAACATGTATATATGTGGGTATGCATGCATGTATGCATGTATGTACGTAGTCTGTGCTTTGTGGATGTATGTATGTATGCATGCATGTATGTATGCATGTATGTATGTATGTGCCATGTCTTTCTTTGTTTGGGTATGTATGTATGTATGTATGTATGTATGTATGCATGTATATATGTATGTTTGTATGTATGTGTGTACGTATGTTGATATGCACACATTTGCATGTGTACACATGGTCTTTATGGACATGTAGATGGCATCATGCTTTGTTTATGTAGGTTTATGCGTGTACATATCCTGACATTTCTGCACGAGCTATGACGCACCTTTGCACAAGTATGTGCATGCACTTGCCTGCAAACAAACAAACAAACAAACAAACACACACACACACACACACAAGCACACACACACACACACATGCAAGCATGCACGCACTTGCATGTGCATATGCCTCTTTGGGTGTCTATGTGTTACAATGTGAATCCTTGCGAAAATGCTTTTCGTGTACATACACGCATATGTACAAACATACGCACTGGTTACCTATATATATATATATGTATTTATGTATGTATGTATGTAGGTAGGTAGGTAGGTAGGTAGGTAGGTGCGAGGTAGGCATGTGAGTGTGTGTATATATATATGTATATATATATGTGTATATATATGTGTATATATATATATGTATATATATATACATACACACACACATATAAATAAATATATATATATATATAATATTCGTGCCCACCTGCCGGCCAGCGGGCTGTCTGCCTACATACATGGTGCAAGCAGCATCACATACAAACACGTTTGAATTGAATAGTGTTTTGGCATCCACACACGCTTTCGAGCGCGTCTACTCAGCTGTTTTTTTGTGGTTATCATATTCTGCTGCGTGTACTTCGCAAGGTCCGGAACGGCAACCTGTCTTTTTTGTTGCATGCTTGTTCTTTTTAGTTGTGGTTGCTAGGTGCTTACGAACTCTGCAGTTGAGCTTTTGGAGATGTTTAGTTTTTTTTCAGGGAGCTTGTGGCATGTGTGCAGACATGACATGTCGTCTACACGTGCGTGTCTCGCTGTTGAACCCAGGCATGGCGAACAACCAGGACGAGCAGAAGGACAAGGAGGACGGAAGTTGCACGAAGATTTCCCTAAACCCTAAACACTAAACCCTAACCCCTAAACCCTAGACCCTAAACCCCTAAACTCCTAAACCCCAAACCCCTAAACTCCCAAACCCTAAACCAGGTTTATGTGTGAGGTGGAGACCATCTCTGGCCTGTGATGCTTCGGAGCTGTGGCATGTGCCGAGCGCTTTACGTGCCGTCATGGTTCGTGTTCACACACATCAGGTATTTAAGGGCTTGTGATTTAGGGTTTAGGGTTTAGGCTTGTGTCTGTTTCATTTGGCCTTCGTGGCCTTCTTGATCTTGTAGCCGAGAGCCTTCCATAGTCTGTCGTTCGCGTGCTATGTTTCACCGTATGCTCTATGTTGATTGGTACAGCCTCTTCAGATGTTCTGACACATCATGATGCTCTTTGAACACAGTCTCAAGTCTGAGTCTCGATCGATTCTTCGTGTAATGTAGGATTCGGAATATTGCTGTTAGTATCTCTGTATAGTTCCCGTATGGGTATACTATAACATACCCCCAAACCCTCTTCTAATTATTCAGGCTCCGCTATCAGGACCACAGTTGATCTTTCTTGCCCGGTAGCTCTACGAGATACGCCTGGTCGCATCGGGCCCTTCTGGTGACCTACTGTTGATGGACAACATCCTGCATTACCTCAAGTACCCTAAACTTCCGGAGGTATTCAGTGTTGTGGCTTTCGCAGGTTTTTGTCCATCAGTGTAATTCTGTACCCGACCATGTCTTGCTCATCTTGCGAAGAGCCGCATCTCAAAAACGCAAGCAGGAGTACAAGACACTGTGGGGCGTCCGTGGCTGAGAGATGGTTCAGGGTTTTCGGAACTGTGAGGTCCAGGCTCTAGGGGTCAGGGGTTTAGGGTTCAGGGTTCAGGGTTCAGAGTTTAGGGTTTAGGGGTTTAGTGTTTAGGGGTTTAGGGTTTAGGGTTCAGGGTTCAGAGCTTAGGGTTTAGGGGTTTTGGGTTGAGAGTTTCCTGGGGTTTAGGGGTATGTGCGTCATCCTTAGCCCTGCAACTTCCCCAAGATGTCTGCAGTGTGCCACTTGGAGGTTCAAGGGTAGGCTCCTTTAAGGGATCCATAAGGGATCAAAAAGGGGTCCTATAAGGGGTCCTATAAGGGGGTATCAGGGGTCCTATGCTTGGAGGTAGTTACAAGTGGAGCTATAAGTCCCGTAACATAGGCTATAGCAAAAGTTGCCTTACATATAACCCTACTTTTAACTAGCTATGAACCTCCAAGTAACCAAGATCCAGGGCCCCGGGAGGCATAGCCCTCATAAAAGCCAAGCGAACCGCAACAACACTCTAAGGAACATGCAAAAGCCCTTTATCAAACCCGATACGCACCCTAAACCCTGAACCCAAAGCCCTAAGCACCCTAAAGCCCTAAACCCTAAAAGCCCTAAAGCCCTTAGAACTAAGAAGCCCTAAACCCTAAAAGCCCTAAAAGCCCTAAACCCTAAACCCTAAAAGCCCTAAGCCCTAAACCCGAAACCGAAGGCCCGGATCCTTTGGCCACCTGACATGCCGGATGACATGCTGGAGGATGCTGCAGGGGCCTCGTAGCTTTTGGGGCTCTGAGGGTTTAGGGTTTAGGGGTTT